GTTCCGCAAAAGCACCAACGGCGAGGCCTTTATCCTCGACCGTGCCGGAGGTTCGGGGGCGGCGGCTATGGCGGCACGTGTGGCTGCTGCTGCTGCTGCTGCCCCTCGCGCCAACGATTCCGCCCTGGGGAGTTCGCCGGACCTGGAGGGACGCAGGTCCCGCGTCCGGACGTTCCCTGAAGACGTGGAGGGTTTGCTCTCTCTTCCGTCGCTGTTGGCGCGGATGGCCAGTCCTCCCCCTGGCCCCCCGCGCCGGCCATGCCTGCCTGCCAGCCATTGGGCCCCAGTGTGGGATTAACGTGCCGTAAGGCCGGAGAGGCGCTCCCCCGAAGCCGACCAAACCAGCCGGCCAGTCCCGCGTGCTCGCTGCCTGCCCCCCTTGCCCGTACCCCCAGGGGAACGTTCGGTTGGGGGGCAAAGCGGGCGGCTCGGCCGTGCTTGGAGGGGCAAGGGCGCATCCTGAGAGCGCTAGAGAGCGCGCACGGGACCTCTCCGCGCCTGAAAAAGCCAACGTGGAGTCTCGGGCCCTCTTGGTGGGCAGACAGGGCGAGGAAGGAAAGAAAGAAAGAAAGAAAGAGAAAAAGCCAGATTGAACGAGAGCGAAATGAGCCCAGCTTGTATACCACAAAGGGAGCAAGAGATTCCATTCCTTGCTCACGTCGACCTCGAGTGGAGGGAGATGACCCGCCTAATTTAAGCATATTAATCAGCGGAGGAAAAGAAACCAACCGGGATTCCCTGAGTAAGTGCGACCGAAACGGGAAGAGCCCAGCGCAAAGCCTCGCGTCCCCTTCGCGGGGGGCTCGAGGGGTGCTGCGTTCGGGAGAGGTCCTGCACGCGCTCCCGAGCCGCCTAAGTTGTTCATGAATGACTCTCATACCCAGGGAGGGTGTCAGGCCCGTGTGGCGGAAAGAGACTTCCTCCTCCTCGTTCGCGGGGAGGGGGGTTTCGGGAGTGCGGAACGGGCCTCTCCTTAGAGTCGGGTTGCCTGAAACCGCAACCTAAAGCAGGTGGTAAACTCCATCTAAGGCTAAATATGACCACGAGACCGATAGCGAACAAGTACCGTGAGGGAAAGTTGAAACAGAACCCTGTAGAGAGAGTTCAAGAGAACGTGAAACCGTTAAGAGGCTAAACGGGCGGAGATTCGAAGATCGAACTGGGGGGATTCAGTTCGTCGGCCTGCCGGGAGACGGTAGCGGGCGTGTTGCGACTTCCCGTTCCGGAGGCCTCGTGCCGAAGGAGCCTTGAGTGGGGAGCGCCGCCCGCCGCCTGCCCGGCGCCGGCGGGCGATCTTCCCCCCGCAGTAGGTCGCCGCGACGCGTTGGGATGATGGGCGTCTGAGGCCCGGGTCCTGGTAGGAACCGGCGGCGCGTTCGGCCCTTCCTTGCTCGACTCGTCGGGCGGGGTTGGTCGTTTTCCAGCGCGCCCGTCCGGGGATCCCCCGGTGCCCTCGTCTTGCTCCCCCGACGGTCTCTCCTCCGGGGCCGTCCGAGATCGGGGGTGGGGTCCGAGGCCGCGGTCGAGCCTAGCCTCCTCCTTTCGGGGGGGTCGTCTGGCTTCCCGCGCTTCCCCTTCCCCCACTCGGTCCTTGTGCTGGCCCTCGCGGCGTGCAAAGAGTCGGTACTCCTCCCGACCCGTCTTGAAACACGGACCAAGGAGTCCAACATGTATGCGAGTCAATGGGCGCACTAAACCCACGGGCGCAATGAAAGTGATCGGGCCGATCCCACGGAGCAGCGGGCGGCCGCGCGCACCCGGACGGAGTGACCGACTTTCCTCCCCGGGACGGCGCGGGTCCCCTCCCGCTCCCGCACGCCCGCGCCCGCCTTCACCGGCGGGCCGGGGGGGCAGGTCCGGGACTCGCCATGACGAACGGTCGCCTCTCCGCTTCGCGGCGGTAGGGCCGCGGCCGGATGTGTCGGCGGGTACCCAGAGCATAGATGTTGGGACCCGAAAGATAGTGAACTATGCTTGGCCAGGATGAAGCCAGGGGAAACCCTGGTGGAGGTCCGAAGCGTTTCTGACGTGCAAATCGATCGCCAGAGCTGAGTATAGGGGCGAAAGACCAATCGAACTATCTAGTAGCTGGTTCCCTCCGAAGTTTCCCTCAGGATAGCTGGCACTCGCATCGAACGAGTTCCATCCGGTAAAGC